TCTCTCTCTCTCTCTCTCTCTCTCTCTCTCTCTCTCTCTCTCTCTCTCTCTCTCTGTGTGTGTGTGTGTGTGTGTGTGTCCCAAGCACAGCCCCACCGCCCACCGGCCCCCCAACACACACACCGGCACACCCACCGTTGGAAAAGAAGCACACACGAACGCACGAACTGACACACACGTGCGTGCACGCACGCACGAAAGGCCCGCACCAACGCAAACACGGTGGTACTCCGCAGAATGATGCCAGTACCCTTCTTCCCAACAATAAAATGTAAGGTCATTTTCCCTGCATCTGGACTGAGATGAGAGCCAAATACGGCCATAATGACCGTACGTTCTATAAGGGGGAAGACTTGTACTCTTATTCTAGATCCATGGGGACCTATCTCATCCTCTCACTAGTCTATGGGCCTCGCCACACCACTCTCGAATCTCGAAAATTCGTGAGTCGGGCACCGCCACACGGCATCCCTCGAAAAAAAAACTCGAAACTGTTCGAGAGCTGTCAGGAAGGCGTTTTCGAGTGCCCTCTCGAAAGGATGTTTTGGCCCAGCCTGCAGCGTTGGAGTTTTCGTGATAGCGCCCCTCCGCTCGAGTTCGACGTCCATTTCGAGAGTTGTCAGGCCGTTTGTTCGTGATGCCGCCCGTCTGTGCTCGAGTTCGTCCATTTCGAGAGGCCGGGTCTATGCAGCGCTAACGCAGGGGAGGCAACGATGTTATCGGAAATACCGAGGTTAACACCTCGGGAGTTAGCTGCGAGAAGCTGCCGGCGCGTGAGTTATCGACGAGCTAAGGGGAAATCCATCGAAGCAACTCTGCTCCCGCGTGGTATGCTTAGTACTGCGTTTCCCCTTGAGAAGATCCTGGGGTAGGGAGATGCTGTCAGCCGGGGAAGTCTGCCAGGAGCTTTGAAGGTTGAAGATGGAATTCTTTCGTTGGCAGGGCATGCCCGTGCGAGACTGGGCTCCTTTACATGGAAGATGACAGCAGCGCCAGAGGGAGCAGTGGGAGAGTTCATGACGGCAGTGGGAGTGCTGTCCATATTACCAAGGAGACAGGCTCCTTTACATGGAAGTTGACAGCAGCGCCAGAGGGAGCAGTGGGAGAGCTCACGACGGTGGTGGGAGTGCTGTTAACATTTCTAAGGACGCATCATGTTATACTTTGCATTTAGGCATACTTCACATGCTCCTTATCACCGTTTTGAGCCAGTTCCAGTTCTCAAACCGGTGGGGGTGGTCAACGCTCTGAAAGATGAACCAGCTATAGCTGCATGGGAGATGGTTAATAATCGGGAACGGGAACGTTTGTAGAAGATTTTCGTCAGCATGAGCAGAAGGCGCACTAGCTGAACATTTTTGTCATCATTTATCTGTGCGACGGACCCGAGAGCCCCAATGAAGATTTGCGACATGGGGATGAAGCTGAAATTCTTACATCAGGAACGTGATGTGCTTCCTGTTATTCTACCTTGGTTATTTGTGGGACACTAGACATTGAATGAGAATCGAACGTGATGTGCTTCCTGTTATTCTACCTTGGTTATTTGTGGGACACTTGACATTGAATGAGAATCCTACACTGTAGAGGTTTGTTTTATATTGGTTTTATAATGTGCTTCACGTCATTCTACCTTGGTTACTTGTGAGACATCTGAATTTTGCTGTATCTGTATTTGGCGCCGTTCATGGGATAGGTACAGGCTCTACTACCTTCATGATTGAAATAGGATTTCAAGTGTGGTCTTCACGATTATATTTTGCTCTATGATTTAAGTTTTGATGCGTACCATTTGGGTATCTTGAATTTAATCCACTCACAATTAAGCATTGCTCCACACGGAGTCTCTAGCAGATGTGTCCAATTGGGTGGCGTAGTAATCTGACGGTCTATCGCTGCACAAGTCACTTAGGTCACAGTCCTCTACAAAGGAGAGGAGTACGTGTTTTCACACTGGCCTGTATTCTTCTTGGTTCTACAGGTGCAGGATCCCCTTTCAGACTGTCGAGTGCTTGTCCCGAGCGGATTTATACCCCCCCCCATTTTGGTGTAGGGGCCGGGGCTTGGGGCCAAAGCACTTGGACTCGATTTGGCTTATCTATACTGGTTCCGCTTGTTTTCACAACGTGTCAGCTAGATTGCGTGATGGTTATGCTGTCAGCTAGTTCTGTTGATACTATCTCGGATGGCTGGGCGAGGACGGATGGCTGAATTCAGCTAAGAAGAGTTTTTATTGAAATACAAGGAGGGATCTGTGGTTTCTCTCTGGAAGAATTCTGGTAGAACTGCGCGTTTTGGGTTTGTATTCCTAATTTTGGTGGTTGGTAGGGGGCCGTGCGAGATGAGTGAAGCTACCTGCGAAAGGGAAAATCATGTTCCARCTGCCTGTTGTGTGCCTAATAGCACACGTCTCTCCTGCCAGTGAGGATGGGAGGAACTACTCCCGTACAATTTCTCAGTACTGTCGGAGAATTGATGGATTATCGTACCAGAGATAAACTAGGTGCTGTACATTTGTGTTGGCTCTGCTGTTTTCTAAATGCAGACTTGTTTGGTTGTTTAGGGATTGCATATAGGTGCTGCAGTCCTACTGAGGCATTTTAAAGCTATACTACTTCATGGGTAGCAGCACTACGGAGGCAGTGTGAGTGTCTCCGTTGGTGGTGAGAGTGCTTCTCCTTGCAGTTGGTATCACCAGGATAGGGAGCAAATTTGAACTGTACCCGCCATGATCTTGGCTCAAACGGACAGTAGATCCTTTCGAAGATCCAAGGGTGCGTGGTGGAAAACCCGTCAAGGTGGTCTAGGCTTCCTCTGGTCTGCAGATGTGTTAGGGTTAACGTTCATCAGAATGGGCAAGGGTCAATCTTCTTTGAGCTTAGCCCAGGGTTAAGGATTCCTTGGCTGAAGGATTTGCGTGGGTATATGTTTTTTTAGTTCGGCCACTTTTTACTGAGCTTCAAGTTAGTTTTTTGAGAAGTTTACTTCTGATGAGAATAGTGGGTTCCTGGGACGCTGGACCCGGTTTCCAGCAAGGTTCTTGGAGACTCCGGGTTGAATTGTGAGGTCCCCTGCCTCAGCCATTATTTTGCTTGGAATATAAAGTAACGACTTCTCAAAAAAAAAAAAAAAAAAAAAAAACCTGACAGCTCTCGAATATTTTCGAGATTCGAGAGTGGTGTGGCGAGGCCCTATGTATAGTACGGGGGAACACCAACCAACCCGGATCTCTCCCCAGCCCACGGGGGATGAGATACATGAGTACTATGGACAGCTCTCATGAAGCTCTAGAGAGACATTGGCCCCCACAAGAGCAGGCCCCTGGGTAGATGGCATGAAGTATGGCGACAACCATGCTTTGGGAATCTGGCAATCTGCGACCAACAACAACAACCCCTGTCAATAAAGCAGGACTCTCATTGGCTGTCGTGGGTCAAGAAATGAATATTCAGGATCCGGGATCCGGGACCTGTGGGAAGTCAGAAAAAGTATCTCAAAATCAGCAGCACAACTTCGCCACCAACTAAACAACATCTGAGACAGTTGCAAGAGGCCATACCCCTATCTTGGGTACGAACCCTCAAACAGGGCCCGTGCATAAGAGAAGGGGACTGGGTAATAACAGCAACATCGCGCCGCCTCCCCATGATGGTGTATAAAGTGGGAAACCGAACAGCAGAGCGAGCGCAACTGGAGGCATACGACCCGGTCATGCCTGGGGGGCGATTATCCAGATTGTCCAGGAACCAGGACCTGGACACACAAAATACTAGGGCCAGACTAATCAGAATCAGAGTGTTAGGGGATGACGCAGATGGATGGTGGGCCTACCAGCCCTCAACCCCAATCTGCCAACTCCCCTTCAATCCGGAGGAGTGGCGATGGGAAGGGGGCACAGTGGCACACCCCTTCCCTTTTGGAAATACACTGTTGAACCACCAGTACTTGGCCCATACATGGGCCGCAGGCCTTCCCCGTTAACGCGCCGCAGTTTTCGGGGTTCGGAAAACGCCCGGCAGTGCGATGGAGGAGGACGTGTGTGGGCCCACAGAAACGGGGCAAATGGACTGTAAGATGTCCTGGTGCTGTGCTATGTGGAAACGTGCGGAGGTTGAAGGCGATGAGGGGGAAAAGAGAAAAGAAAAGGAACTGCAACACGAGAAGAAAAAAAAAAACAGATCGTTGCTTTTCTTTCTTTTCTTTTTTTTTGGAAGAAAACTGGTTTTTCATGAGTGTCCGCCAGCCCTGTAACGTTAGCACTTTTTATAATGTATCCGGCTGTACTTATGGGCACAGTGGATGAATCTAAGGGCAATCACGTTGAGAGCTTGGTATCTCTTTTGCCCTTTGTTTTTTCTCTTTTTTTGGAAGTAGTATCTCGGCTGTTTGTGCTTCTGCTCCCCGTGAGACACAGGGAGCATTCAATGCTTGCCAACCGTTCCAAGTCCACAGCTTCACTGTGATGTATCACTTTCCAGAATGTATCTGAGGACAATCACGTTCAGAGCTTGGTACCTCTTTTCCCCTTT